TGCATGTAAATTAATACGCAAGAGTAGCTTGCCATCTGTTGCCGTAGAACTCGGTAGATTCCAGACATTCAGCCTAAGCATCCTGTACGGAAATCTTAGTTTTGTTTTCAGAAGGGACCCAGGACCACTTCCTATGTACAAGCTCTCCTTCTATTGTACGAAGGCCTGTGTGCCAACATACAGGAAGCCAACCATGACTCAGAGAGCATCTTCAGCAGCATCATCACATCTTGCACGAAACGTCTGATACAGGTGCTACAGGTCGACACAATACTGCAAAAAAACGATTTCATACCCTGAATTGACTAGACTTCAAGGCTAGCATATGATGTTTTGGTTTGCAATTGATTTAATTTATTTCCGTCATCTGGAGTCCAGCCACGGCACCAACAAGTGAGGAATCTTCCTGCGAAAGAAGTTCTCACGTGGAGCAGGAGAAAGGTCGTGACTGTTGCAACTATCTAATTTCACTCCTCATATCCAGAGCAGTGGACACGATGCCTTTTGTTAACGTCATCGGAGGTTATTGAGGTACCAGAATCTCAGCATGCTGCAAGGTGTAGTTGGACCACCTTCTAGCGCCCTCCGATCAGTAGCGCCCATATCTTGCAACGCTTTTCTTCCAACAATGACGTAGATGACTTCATAAGAACTTCTCCACCTTCCAGAAACAAGTGCGCTGACCCAAACCCAGTCTTCGAAATTTTTCGCATTTATCTTTCGCGAAGGAAGGTTCTTGGGAGTCCGATATTGTTTTGAATGAAGTTACTGACATGATTTAGGAAAACGTGCCACCTCCACAAAAAAATAAATCTGCAGTGAGTCGCTAATAGTCAATAAATGAATGTGTTACTATGTTTCTAACCTATTCCGCGTATTCTTGAATGCGTTCCAATTTAGATCACAGCGGATATAAGAGCAAGGTTCTACCATGCTGCCGCTTAGACCTTCTCGCCCCGTCAGAACCAGATTATTCCATTATAATGAACCAACAGGCAATTCAACTCGCACTAGAACACGTGGCGGCATTTTCATTGAAACCACCACTGAATAAATCATAATTGTATGGAGAGCCTTGTTTGGTTCTCCACAGTTGTATGGAGAGCCTTGTTTGGTTCTCCACAGTTGTATGGAGAGCCTTGTTTGGTTCTCGAAACGTCATTCCTCTCATATCGTCCATTTCATTTCATTTACGTTGCCACGCTTAGGAGATAAGCTGCTGAGTAGAGGCGCTTCAACCATTACTCACGAGTAGCTAGCCATTGCTCCAAGGAAGCCTCGTTATTGGATGTGTGCAAGGACGAATACGTTTTCCAACATGTGGCAAAACGTTTACTAGAAGGAGACTTGTACCCAAACTTGGCCCTGGAGTAAATATTGACCTGTGAATCACCACTAGCTGGTTGACTAATATGAAGTCCTCAAGGGAACATGAGGGATCCCTTATCTGCAGTGTATGTTATGAACGAACTTGCTACTTTCAATGACTTTGGCTAAACTAAAGACAACAACTTTGCATGATGCACTTCGGCGCATTCATTTCAGGTTCCGCAAAAAAGCCAGTTTCTTCGTACATCAGTGCGACGGCAGCTGCGTGATGGAGTGACAAAGTCCAAGTCCACTTTGAAGTCTTTGGCGAATTAGAATCCTGTAATCGTGTGCGGAAATTAACTTTAACGTGATACCTATCATGGCCCATTAAACTGAATAAACACGTGATTATTTCTGTGTTTTTACATCACGAACATCTCCGCTACCACATCATGAATATCCTAAATTTGTAGTAGCCGCAGTACGCTATAAAGCAAAACTTGAACGATTCGCCCCGGAGAATTCTTGCACTCTTCCCGACATGAATATTTGTTTGATCTCCGAAACAACGTATAAAATTTTACAGAAGAAGATTCAGTTTGAAACGGGAAGCAAACTTACGTATACTACGGATGGATGGTCGAGGGTAGGCTGGGCGGAAACAAGGGAACGCTTGGAAATAAGTGCACTTTTTGGGCATCTCACGTTAAGCGGTGCACGGAAGAATTGAGTTAAAACGTCTGAATCCGGAGCAGGGTGAAAATCGTGTCGAGGAAATGTCCGCCTCTTTACGACCCCCCTCCATAATGCAGACCCCGATACGAACCCCGTTTTAACCTTTCCATATCCGGTTTTACAACAAAAATGTTAGTTTTAGATTAGGAGAAGGAGGCAGCGACGCTGCCAGTCAAATGCACGGCTCAAATCCTAAACCCATTTCTGCTCAGAGTGGCTTCTCCCTCGTTCCTCCCAATAATTTAGCCTTGGCCACATTGGCCGGGAAGTAGAACGTTGAAGGAGGCGCCGCCTACACACAGTTGAACAGTCTCGCACTCTAGCGGCGCTAACCACCCGCGGTTGCGTCGCGTGCTGTGCCTGGAGCGCGCTCGTTGGAAAAGTCGTCAAATGTACCCGTTGAAGGGCTCTAACATTCTATAAAGACAATCATTTCAAAAAAGGGAGACAGATTCTGGAAGAGCGTGATTTCTAGTTTCTAATCCGTGCCGAAAAATTTTTCGAGCTAGTTTTATCTCGAGAATTGAAAACGTCGAGTAATTGTCGAGGAGAACGAGTTTTACTTGTGAGTTTTCGCTCTTTGGAAGACCATAACTTCCTTCATTTATGATATTCAGAGGAGCGGAGAAAAGCGTTGTAAACTAGAAGATTGGAGCTTTCCGATAAGCGTTGAAAGCTTTAAATGTCCCCCGATTAGCGAGAAATCTGCGTCGAGGAAATGTCAAGGGAATTCCCAAAGCCACTGGAAAGCTCTATTCCTCGCTTGCTGTAGCAGGGAACAGCGCTGAGCACCCTCAAAATGCTTCTAGGAAACACATTCCAATGGAGTAGACTGAAAATGATACACTTGACGCAGATCCGTACCGTTCTGGTATGCGCCATGCAGTGACCCCACTCGGAATCATTTGAAAGGTGTCTTGTCAAAAGGACAACTTACTCGTGCAAACAGAAGGTGTTCTTAGTCTCGACTAATCAGAATCATAGTATAGCCTAGTCATTCCTCTATTTACGTTGCTTCCTTTCCGATCCTGTTTTGAGATACATTTGTGGCTGCAGTATTTGATGAAGCCAAAAAGGTTCGAATCTCCCCGTATTGAATTCTTTACTCATATTCTGCTCCCCCACTAGATAGGTTCTCGAAGCGTGTACATTAATTTGGAGTAGACAGACGCTGTCCATTCCTCACGATACATTTGGAAGACGCGTTACCTCACGACTATATCGTCAGACTGATCATTATCCATCAGACCAACGGCCACTTTCCATTTAAATTTTATTCCAGTCAGTTGTAAGATATCATTCGCATTCGCGTTATGCTAACTAAAACCAAGATTGAGGATGACAGCGAGTGGAGAGCAGCACCATTACTGGGCGATGAATGGTCCTACGACCCCCCTTCGCATCTCAGTGGAGCAAATACGACCCCTGGTCGAAGAATCCCTCGACCGTTATTCACCCTGATCCGGAGATTGGAAAACAACACGATTGATTGAACGGGATGTCGCAGAAACGTGCGCCTGTGTACATTGGGACAGCCTCGCATTAAAGGAATCCTTCGCGGAAAATTCTTGCATTCTTTTTCAACATCAATGTATCAGTTATGATTAGTGGATGCAACACATAAAGTTTTGTGTATGAAGGTTCGGTTTCCGAAGAAAAACAAACTCAGTAAAATTCATTCTATGGACAATCGAAGGTAATTCGGGCGGAGCCAAAGGTGGGGCATGGAATAAGTCTGCACTGGAGAGCCTACGTGTCAGGCGGCGCAATAAAAGAATCGGGTCAAAGCCGATTTCGGAGCGTAGAGACAAAACGATCGATAGAATAGGATGGAGTAGAAGTGTAAGATATGAATGCAATAAATAAGTATTCGTTCTAGTGAAGGCACTCCATGAACCAAGTGGAAGCATCCCCGTCGCCAACGCCAACATTTGTGACAGATGTGCCGCGGTGACTTGAATACGTAGCAGCCCTTTTAGTTTTTTGAACTTTTTTTTTACCAAAATAAAACGTTCTTATCGTGGATGATGGGTCTCACGCCTGTGAGTTATGGTTGAAACCAGTTTTGCTCCGCCCGCTATCGCGCGCATCACACGGCAGGCTTTAGTGAAACTGAAAGACCCATGGAGGATAAGCATGAGGTACTCCATAATTCACCTCGCTATTGAATGTGTTACACTCCCAGTTTCGAGTTTCCAAGTCCATCGAGAATACGCGTGATAGTCTGGAGCTGGATTGGCGTAATTATCTCACAACTGTAAACATTCAGCACTCTTCTTGAATTCAAATAATTTAGCGGTGAATAGGATTGCTGTCAGTCCCAAATTAAAATGAACTATGCCTATTTACATAATTGAAGAGCTAAGGCTCATCATTTCTTTACATTCACCATTATTTAGAACCCCGAAAGGATTAGCGGTTTAACGCATTGGGCTTTCTTGATAGGAACGAAAGTTATCATTTGCTGAAGACTTGGTTGAATTCATGCAATAGACTGCAATTAAGTAGGGTGGTCATACAATGATACAGCGTGCACGTACCACTACAAATACAATTTGTAAGTAGGGACGCTCCAGTGTCAGCGCAAGCTGCGCAACGGAATCGACGACTTTTGCGTTCTGGCGCCCCTTATCAGCCCCTATCAGTTGTAACCACTTTCCATCACCTACCAACAATGTCCCCGTCCCACCCTTCTAACACTTGTAAGTAGGGATGCTCTAGTGTCAGCGCGAGCTGGGTAACGGAATCGACGACTTTTGCGTTCTGACGCCCCTATCAGCTCCTATCAGTTGCTATCGCTTCCATTCGTGTACCACCATTGTTCCGAGACCACCCCACATAACACTTGTAAGTAATAAATATATAGTGCCAATATGAACGACAAAACGCCGCGACTAGCGAATTTCGTGACAAACTGTGGGCGTTTCCTCAAGTTATAAGAGTAGTAAGCTTACGTTGAACCACGGGCAACTGTCCACTGTTTTTTCAGAAACTTGTGGCACTTCCCCTTCAAAGTCTCCATGAGACCGCTCCTGTATAAGCTGCGTACACATGTACAGGTTGGCCTAAAATTACGGTTACAAAGTCAAATCGTCAAACAAAATCGACAAAGGTTAAAAGAGCTAGACGTCTAACAGCCTTTTCGCTTTTTCGATTGTTCAAGTAATTGTATTGCTTTTTTTCGTTCTTATCATGATTGATGGGTTTCAATACAGTAATCCATGGGTAAGATAAAATCATAACTTTGCCGGTGCGATGAATCCTCAAACTGTGCTATTGTAAGAAAATTTTGCCTTCAAATAAGAACGCACGCGCGAATTAAAATTCAATTAGTAGTAGAAGATATCTTCCTTGCGTATTCCCGTTCCTCCCTTTTATAGTTGCCAGTTTCGCACGCATTCCGTATACCAGCGCGGAGTGTCAGCGTGTGGGACGGCCTCCCGCTAAATGGGGCCGTATGTGACCTTCAAGCAAATCTTCCTCGAGTATTTTCCTAGACATCTGTCTTTTTCGTCTAGTTGATATTTTTCGCTTGGACTTCCAAGTCGCTCCAAGTCTGATTCAAACGTTTCTTGAGAAGTTCTTTGTCACTTGGTTCGAAGACTGCTGTTGGTCCCTGACTTTTTGTGGTGTCTTTGGGAATAATTCCTTTGTCCTACATAAAGGGCCCAGAGATGCTATTTGACATCCGCATTCCCGTAGGAGTTTTCATATCATGCTTTGGACTTGTCAACAGTTCGAAAATAGTCTAATACGGCGAGGATTTGCGGAACTTGATGCTTACTACGGATTAAGATTGGCCCGAGAAGAACAGCTAAAGAACTTTACATCGGTACTCACGGAATGGATTGGAATGAGCAGCGCGAAAGACTGTCTGAGTTTATCATGTCGACCAACACCATCCATGGTAGCTCGCAGTTCCAGAAGCCCTCTCACCTTCGATGGACTCGGGAGTCACCTGATGGACAGTTCCATAACGAGATAGACCACATCATCTTCAATCGAAGGTTTTGCCTGACCGACGTCGCTGTTGTTCCAAAGTTCTACACGGGATCGGACCATCGTCTCCTCCGCGCAAGATTCCAATTCTCGATGCTGTTGAGAGAGCAGCAAAGTTCAGGAAGCGAAGCCCCAGGACAACCACCAACTGGGACCACTTCGCTTCCCTTGTCAGCTTATGGGAGGATTCCGTTATCGAGAACATCGACGAGGAATATCATCGGGTCGTTGAACACCTTCACGAGAGTGGCAGGGCATGCAGAGAGGAGATGAAGGAAGATTTCAAAGAGCGAAGAGCAGCAGTACTAGCTGAAGCAGCAGAGTCTGGGAGGAGCATCCGCAATGTCCGCCGAAGCTTTGCCAGCTGCAATACCAAGATGACCTGGCTCCGACGTCCGTATGGAACAGTTACTGCATCTCGAAGGGCAATGGAGAAAGTCATCCACGACTTCTACTCGGGTCTCTTCGATAGCCATGTCCATCTGCCTGCTTATGGACTGCAACAGGATGGATACGTCGTCTCCTCAGTTCTCTCTTCCGAATTCCGACACGCCATCAGGTCGGTGAAGAATTGTACAGCACCCGGTCTCGACAGGGTCAAACCGGAACATCTGAAGAATGCGAATCTCACCATTCTACAAGGAGGTCATCATCGACGTCAAGAGAGGGGTTCGACGGGGCGACACCATCTCGCCCAAACTCTTCAGCGCCGCTCTCGAGAACGTCATGCGTCAACTGGAATGGGAAGACATGGGAGTGAAGGTCGACAGCCGGCACGGCAACTACACCGCCTTCGTTTTGCTGACGACATCGTTCTTATAACGCCGAACACCGAGCAAGCCGAACGAATGCCGGCTGGTTTCAACTGCGCCTGTGGTAAGGTCGGTCTACAGCTGAACCTAACGAAGACGATGCTTATGAGAAACGGATTGGTTCCTGATGTCCCATTCACGCTCAACGGAACGAACATCACCGAATGCTCCAGCTACGTGTACCTAGGTCGGGAAATCAATATGATGAACGATCTAGCTCCAGCGCTGAGCAGGAGGAAACGAGCGGCTTGGGGAGCGTATGAGAACATCGAGGGAGTAGTGAAGAAGACGGAGAACATCCGGCTCCGTGCCCACCTCTTCGATGACGCTGTCCTTCCTGCCCTAATCTACGTCAGAGACTTGGACTCTGCGCAGGCAGGACGAGCATGCGGTCAGCGTTATCTAACGCGCTCCGTATCTCCGTCGAGAGGACGATGCTAGGAGTAACCCTAGAACCGCAAGTGAAGAGGGGAATCCGGAGTACCGAACTACGCCAACGATCGAAGATCAGGGACGCTCAGGTTTTTTCAAGGAGTCGAAGATAAGGTGGGCGCGACACGTCATGTAATTTTGGGATAACCGTTGGACCAGAGCAGTTACCGACTGGAGCCCTCGGGACGTCAACGAACACCTGGACCCCGCCGGCCCGATGGTCAGACTTCTTCACGAAAGCTCTGAACGAAAGGAATGAAGGACATCCCTCAAGCAGGGAGGGTCCACTGGACAACTCTTGTACGCGACAGGGACGAATGAAGATGTTGCTGGCGCCCGCTTGAGCAGTTTGATGATTAACGAGACGACAGGTGATACAGGTGATACAGGTGATGCTTACTACCAATTTCTGGGTTGGCCGGGGCATATCTTGTTTGCTTCATGTCGGATGGTGCCAGCCGACGAAAGAGAAACTATTGATCAAACCCGGTCGAGTTTGGAAAGTGATTCAATTTCTCCATTGAAAACTGCGCCGCTTCTGACGAGTACGGTGTGACTCGAATTTTTCTATATGCCCATCAATGCCAGAGATCGTGCATATTTATGTCTGCCTTGGAAGTATTAGGATTGTGGACAAAGATCCTTAGATTACTGTCTTCTGCGTTCCTGAATTGAATAAAGAGAACAGCTCTTTCCTGTGATTCCATATGTTACCGAAGCTGTTCATTAAAATCAGTTGAGGAAAGACGGATTCAATAGTCTGCTCGCTTGGGTATTATTGTTTTGGTTTCAGTATTTCTTTAATTATTTTATCTAGTGTGATTTTGTTCACTCTGTTTGGCCCTGTGTGGCGAATTCCGCGACCTATTTTAAAGTCTGCTACAGCTTCCATTAGTATCTGTTTTTGAAAGATACCGTGACTTGTGTTTTTACTCAAAGTGTGCACAGTCCGTATTCTCCCTATGGACTGTTTTGTCAATTACCGATCTGCATTCCAACGAGAAAAAGCGTCTTTCTGGCAAACGAGAACCCTTTATTGTAATTTGGACGCAGATCGATTTACTACTTATCCTTTGAAGCTGACCTTAATGTTGATTTTATGGTCGGAACTGCTTTCGACGTGAACTCTTTCTTAAAGGCAAAAGTCAGGCTCGTGTTTCGGCATTATGGCACCTGATATTGAGTTAGAGATGAGAAGTGGAACGACAGTGAAGAAAAACGAAAAAAACTGTCGACAACACCGAAATCGAAACTCCTTCCCTTCTAGCAGTGAAGGAGGCTTGCTCGGGGGAGAGCCACGTCCAAACGAGTTTTCCGGATATGCCAGCTGCTCCATCGGTTGATAGGGCAATCAACCTAGCTGATCTCACACGTTAGGCCAGCCACTCACCACATCCCGGGGTGGGCGATCCGTACTGCCGGGAAGTTTTCGCAGCACGGCAGCACACAATGCAAGGCCCTAGCGCCTTTGCCGCGCACTTCTTTGCCGCGACAGCCTCACACCCCCTCTGCTTAGAGACCCCACTTTTGCACCCTATGAAGGACTTCATAATGTTCCCTAATCCTGACTCGTGGCTTTAAGTCGTCCCATGAGATTCTAATTGTTCGATTCCCGATATGCCTGATATGAACAAAGACTTTACACTTTCCTCTTCAAATTTGTTTGAATGGTCTCTGAGCACATTAGATCACTAGTATTCCCGATATCATGACCGGCAGAGACCATCTGATTAATTGAAACTGTAATTTTCTCAGAAGTAAATAGGCAGGTGTCAGCGAAATGGTCGCCTCTTTCGCACCCACATGTGTCTGGACAGCTTGTCATTTATTTAGCAAACTCCATAGGTTCCTTTTGGGTTTTGATCATCTAGACAGTTTTCGTGGTGAGGGTTGAGTGTCCCTTTAATGACTGATTTTGCCCTCCCTCTAATACTTTCTGCCGGGACAACAATCGCTTCATCGACATCCAGCTTCTCCTTTCTATGCACTGACGTCTCAAGGATCGCCCAGTATTCTGGAAACTCCTCTACCTTGCCAAAAAAGAAATTGGGCAAATATGCTCGTGAAGGCTTGAATGAACGCCGCACTGTTCACTCGTCTGACTTCGACAAGGCCCTCTTTCACCACAATCATGAAGTATGAATTATGAACACTACTCCTTTGAAATGGTAATTCTCTCAAAATCTTCGTCTCGACCGTTTTGGAATTCTTGAAGCGCTATTTGTTCCGTCTGCGTCACTCTTTTCGGTATCGCTTCCTTCAAAAATCCCCAGACAAATACTCGGATCGAAGGCACAAATCAGGATAAACTTATTGATGGGAAATGGACTACATTTGCAGGAAATAGGAAAGAATATCGTGGATTACACAGAAAATACGAGCCTTCTTGCTCTACGCTGCGGAGAAGCTCAAAAGGCAGGCAGAGAGATGAGAAGTTATTTGGGTGCAGAGAGTGGTAGGGAAGTCCGAGTAGAAAGTGCACAGCAGATCACTTAGCGACGCAGACAAGATATCGAACGGTGGACGGATAATGCTAGATCGGGGTCTGTTAGAAGTCCTTGGCGTTAGAGGTCCTTGGTGCCTAGCGTCTTAGCCATGCGTTTTGATGTAGGATGGTGGCGAGACCCTTGCACTGTGTATAGTACTTCTAGGCACGGAAAGGGCTTGTTGAGTGGGTTTGAGCCCGAACTTCACCTCTAATCTTCATGGCTTGCTAAGATACCATATGCTGAGTTTTCCAGTGGTGCCGTCCTGCCGAAAACATCAATAGTTCGGACGAATGCTGCGAGTGGAGGCCGTAGCGGGCCTCGTATTTCGCGTGCTCGTTCGAGTTAATTGCAAACACTGTTTCACAAAAAGCTTGGATTTGTTGTTGTTGCGATTGAGTTTCCCTCTATGCATTCTCATAAGATCACTGAGTAAGTTGTTCACTTCCTGCCATGTGGGTGTCATGGAGAATAGGTTGATCTTTCGCGTGCTTGTACACGCTATGAACGGCTATGAATTCCATTATAATTCGAGTAGTTCATTGCTTTCCTATCCAGAAGTGAAATCGACATTTTCTTTTCATCATGTAGCATCACTTCATTATATAACCCAGGGACGGTAGTAAACTACCCTCAATTCGCTGTTAAAAGTGGTGATCGAAAGCTCTCAGCATAGAATAAAGAATAAGATGATCGCCAATCGACTTTAGATCGACACGAGCTTCCTACTCTACTTTATGATCACAGAACAGCAAAACATGAGGGAACGAATGAATAGTTCAGGAAAAAAAGGTCGCAAAAGCATCTGTGGATTACGCGATTGCTGCTGCATTTTCCATTCCTACTTACCATTAGTGGAGCTGGTCAGAGAAAAGAAATACTATGGGAATGAGGAGACGCAGATGCCACGTTTCCCACGTTAACCCTTTAGTTAAAAGTCCTTCGGAGTACTTTTTAGTCGAGGGTCAACGTGGCATCTGCGTCTCCCCAACCGCGTGCTCCTTTTTTCCTTGCTTAATTCCGAATTAGCTTTACAGGTTATATCCCTAATTCGTAATCAAAAACGATTTTTCGATAATGATCTAGCTATGAGCTATATCAAGAGTTAATGTGATGAGAAGCGCTTTAAACCTGTGACCTAACCATGACTTTTGTCTGAGCTAATCTCAGCACGTTAACTCTGACTTGAGGGAGGTTTACTACCGTCCCAGAACTTCGGTGTGTCGGTTTGTCGGTGTGTGTATCGTTCTGCCCGTCCGGACCAACGGCTCACAAAACCAAGGAGTACGAAGAGCAACACTTGGTGATGTTGATGTCATGATTGTGATAAACCCACAGCGGCTATATAATCACCGATCGATCACACACAGTCTCATTCCACATGGTGCTACCATGGCAGCCGGATGAGCAGGGGGAGTGCGGAGGGGGTAGAGGGAATGGGGCAAGCAAGGGGAGGTTGGAAGGGAGGGCAGGGGGGAAGAGAGAGAGAAAGAGGGAGGGAATGGGGAGAGGAAAGGAAGGGAGAACATGGCGCTATCACGCGTCAGCATGGCGCTGTCATGCGCTGGAGCGCTGGAGAGAAGAATGTAAGTAGGGGGGGGGAGGTGGGGGAGGAGAATTGAGAGAGAATGACCGTTTTCAAGAGGATGGTCTATATTTATGTTGATGTATTATTTTAACCTGATTATGGTGATTGTGATAACACCCACAATGGCTATAAAAGCACCGAACGAGCACACTCAGCCTTATTCACATGGTGCTGCAGGGGCAGCTGGAGTTGGCGGGCGGTAGAGGGGAGGGGGAGCAGAAGGTAAGGGAGGAAAGAGAAAGGGGAAGAGGAGAAAGGGCAGGAGAACATGGCGCTGCCATGCGCAGGAGAGAAGGGGTATAAGGAGGTATAACATATTCAGTAGTGAGATGGTCAGTCGAGTACGTCATGCTGTTATTCCGTGGTTCACTCTATCCTGAGATGCGCGCGATAGCGGACGGAGCAAACCTGGTTCACCATACCATATCAAAACGTGAACGACAAAATTGTTTCTGGCTCTCGCTTTGCTTACGAAATCAAACAAATCCACAATTCCTCGGCACTTGGGGGCGTTTACCGGATTCGCAAAGTTTTTAGCTTAACGAAGCGTGTTTTCTGAGCCTAAATACAGTAGCATAGACTGACAGTTCCAATTGTCCACGTCGAAGTAGGGAGAACATTATGGGCCCTTCCATCGTCTCAGAGGGAAATAGAAAATAATCCTGAAAAAAAGTAGAACATAAGATGTAAAAGAGGTTCAAAGAGTTGAAAGTTTTGTGCGCTTCCTAGATCTCATCTCTCTGAACTACGCTGCATAGACTAGTTGTTGCCTTGAATCAAGCGGATGAGGTGTGTTTCATTGAACTACATGCTGGCCAGGGCTCTTCTCTATTATTTTGTCTACGCACTTCACTCCGTAGACGACATGCAAGAGAACTTTACGGCAAATGCAGGACCTAAACGGCTCTGCAGAGACTGCTAATTTTTAATTTAAAGGGAAGTACCAGGATAAAACCGGTGATAAAAGCGCTTCGCAGTGATGACTCAGCTACGGGACAGCCTGAAAGTGTAAATGAAAGCTAGAGAACTCTTTGAGATCGCTGACATTGTGCTCTTAACCTTCAAAAGGTCGGATGTGAAAAGATGACGAGGAAGGGTGGTCAAATAAGACAAAACACACCAGAGCACGCTGTCTGAGAGAGTACGCCGGTATCGGAGTGAGTGGAAAGCGTTGTAAATTGGGTCATGGTTTCCCTAAGGATTAGCGCCCTAACCGCGCAACCTTTGAAGCGGAGCTGTGATCGTTGGTAAGGACCTTGCGAGTTTCCTCACCGCATCCTTTCCTCGAGTCAGCTTAATCCCGGAGTTTGCCTCCAAATGCACAGCAAAACGTTAGGTCAGCGGACAGAAGCCCTAGCGCGGGAATGTTACAGGGATTAGCAAGCTGGTGACTCCTCCCCACTTTGCGGCTCCACATCGCCCTCAAAAGACGATAGGGCCTGAGGGTGCACAAAGTACTCCACGTACACCAGGAACCTCCAACTGAGGTCATGAGCCAAATTCATTCTCGATCGAATCTGATACTGAATCTGTAACTGATTGTTCCTCTCCGCTTGGCATCTCTTATTTCAAAAGTTTTGTTGTTTGTTGGAACTCCTGGAACGTGAAGAGGAAGATCTTTTCTGGTTATTGATGGCCTCTTTCATCTTCTTCCCAATCGATTCATATCGGACCTTTACCTCCATTTTTGAGCGGAATAGTCGTACCAAGACTAAATACCTTGGAGCGTGTCCTTAGGAATCATGTCACTTATCCAATTTCGCTGTTAAGAAGTTATGATACTGCTCAGTATTCACCAATTAAACATTGCTTACTTTCAAGTCCCGAGACTTTACATTCTCCAATCAATTGCATTTGAACCACTGGGACCATTTTACGCGTGAAATGATCTCCTTGTTCCTTCAACGGGAACCATACACTGTATGAACAGGAACAAATCAAAAATAGATTTATTTAACAATTATTAATTGCAGAGGATTCGTTGATTACTAATATCCACTTATATTCTAACAGCCTTTGAATTTGTCTACTTCTTCTTCGATCCCTGGAAAATTTCGATGCAGTTGTTTTAATTGGAAGGATGGGATGTCAGATGCACTGATGGATAAGACTTAAGAACGAGATGAATAAAATAGCATAACTTGTTCAAATCAATAGTATAGGATGAAACAATGGGAGCACAAAGGTATTTCACTTATGCACATCAAGCTGAGCCTCATATGTGATGTGAAAGGGGGAACTGTACTGATTAGCGAGCAGTCACTATGTAATGTGATGTGCTGGTGCTCTTCATCACAGTAAGTTTCAGAGACAATATCAGGGTGACTTCGCACGCAAGAATACCTTACTTTGCTCACAGCATTGCTTTACCTGCATGAGGAGACCCAAGAAACTCTACTCGAAAAAGGATCACGATCAATCGTAATATGTGATCGCTGCGTTTTGCAACAGGCAAGAATATACCCAAGTCAGTCGCCGACTGCAATAGGCGATATGCAATAGGCAATAATATTTCTCAGGACGGTGAACGACGAATCCCTGAACAGTGACATGGCGACGGCACAGAGATGGGCTCGCTGCGCGAAGGACAGTATCCAGTATTTCGATGGAACCCGTGCATCGATGAGAACATTTGCTAGATACTTTGGGAATGGACCATCTGTTAAGAAGAACGCGTGCTCTTCCCTGTTAAGATTGAATCGAGGGTGAATAGTCATACTACATAGGCCCACCCGTCTCTGTAAGAAATAGGAACACATAATGCACCCAGGACCGTTGTCGATCATGATTGTTTCGAGAGTCCGATCAGTCTAATTTGTAAGCGATATGGTGTGGACAGGCATAACGATGCCAGGGTGTTAGTCCTCCAAAATCGTGATGACGACATACTAATACTTCAATACTTACTTTAAAGGTTATTGTGGTGCTGTGGTCCTTCCTAATGTGCTTCGCTTCAAGAAAGCGTTCGACCCTATTTTCATTCGTATAGAGGATAGAGCTAGTGCACTGAACAAACCTCTTGTGACCAATATGGGAGCACGTAGCAGAGCATGGCATTTCTTATTGTTCACGCACCCTATCAAGAAACAAGTTCCGTACTCTAAAGGTTCACCATGAATTAGGGCAGCTTCAGCCATCAACAACTTCGACCACTATTTTCTGAAAAAGCACCCTCATTCCCGGCGTTCCCATTGCGTGTTTCTGTAAGCAATTCCTCGGTAACATAATGATGCCTCCTAGTATGATCCAAACTTCATCGGGTAAGGTAACTAGTCAGTGAGAGATCATGCAGAAGTTACTTTCGTCCTTAAGTTTTGCACAACAGTGTAGTAGAGGATACCTTGATGTGTTATTCACGTCCTGCTGCCTAAATGTGAGTGTACAAAAGGGTGCCAAGAAAATAGCTTTTGTCTTAGGACACCAAAAACATTGGAATTGACATGCACTAGCTTTCTTTTACTCAAACACCAACGAAGTAACTTGGAGGTGGTGTTGCGAATGATGGAGAACCTTACACTACAACAATGATGTTGCAGGGGAACAACCGCCATCTTCATGATTATTTCCTGAGTGAATCAGATGTGGCCCAAAGCAGGTCAACGACCGCTGCGCAAAGAACAATGGGGGTTAGTATTTGGGAGGGGAAACGGAAGGGGTCGTAAACGCGAAAACCAGCAGTGGGATGCATAGCGATCCTCTCCTGCTGAGAAGCGGAGGGAATGTGTAATGCAGTAGGAAACCCAATTTGTAAAAAAATGTGATGAATTATAACCTTACAAAGAGCTAATACAAAATTAAGATCATGTAGCACAGAGAAGCACCAAAGTTTATTTCAAAAAAACTTCAAAAGTTCTTAAAGTGTCCTCTATTTCCCGACCACACCAAATTACTTTTACTAGCTTCAATCGATGTATTTCAGGCCTGACGAAGGTGTTATACACGGAAGTATCGCCAAAGACTCCAAAGGGATTCTCTTTGAATTTTTTCTGGTGTTTGGAATTTCTAGAGTTTTTCGAATACTTTGGGAGTTTTTGGAATTCTTTCGCAATGAACTGGTGCCTCTTTGTGTTGTATTACATTTAGGTCCTGATGAGACAGCACAATATTTCTCCGGGACAGCACAATACTAAGAAAAACTTATAATATACTATTACAATTGAAACACACACGCAACTACAACCACGATACTCTTACATCTCAAAGAAAGTGGAGGACCTTCAGGCACCAGCTCGACTGCTAATTGCTGACAGGTTCACGGTGGGTCTTCAAGCATTAATTTCTTACTGCAAAACATTTCTCTGTCGCTTGAAATAGTGGAGCTTCGAGATTTGCACCTAACTCGAAAAGATCACCCTCCAGTCTTCTTCCAAAAGCTCAAGTGTCCCACAAAAGCGGTATCTGCTAATTACTTTTCTAATATGTTACTGCTGGTCTGCATATAGCTGTTAGGCTGCTGTTGACTGTATTATTCGAGAAAAGCTAATTTGAAAGAAGAAAGAGAAGGGAAATGATTGAAGATTTTTGCGACAATCTGACATACAATAGCGGTCAAATCTTGGAAACTTTTGTGTTTGATCTAACGCATTCCTTTTTGTTTTTAATCTAACGCATTCAATAAAAAACAGGATTGCCTCGATTCCACGTGTCCCATACAAAATCATTTGTGAAATACGACAGGCACTATGTTTTTCCTGGAACGAAAACCAAAGTTTGAAGGTACGATTTTTTTTCAAGAAATCGCGCGTCAAAGTTAGGAACTTTCAACTGCTTTCATCATTAATAAAACTTCAACTCCTCAATGCACATGTTTCTATTAATTTCAGTTTAGTTATTAAGTATCATGAGATTTCAAAATGAATTCGTATACGAAATATTATCGCCAAGCAGAGGATTTTATAAACCCTGGGTTCGCAATACGAAATTGAAATTGTTTCGCCAGAGTTAAACCCTTTAGAATCGATAAAACATAGAGGAAATACCCTTCCACAAAAGAATCATCACAGGAAAAATGGCCGTTCTCAAGGACATCGCGGCACGCCATGTCTCCACGATATCCCCCAAGAAGAAGCTATTTTCCGGGTTTCCTTTCCAGTAAAAAAAGTTTAAGTGCAGCAGAACATCGGATGGAACCTGGCGAATGTCATGGATGATGTTCTAAGAAGAACACATTATTGAGCTCCCAGAGCAGGACGGCTCAACAACATTATGACTCACATTAACGGGCAACCTGGATCGAAGGCGAGAGGTAAAAAACCGTGGTTAGCGAAGAATGAACCTCCTGCTTTTTTGAGAACGATGTAGTGGCCCTGTCAAGTGTTGTGTCACACGAAAACCTCGTTTTAGGAAGCAGTTTAGCTTTGCAGCTTTGCTTCGTTGCAACTGGACAGTAGCTAGGGCGTTAGGTTCCACCGGTAAGAAACAAGAAGAAATGCTTCTGCTCACGGTGCGCTTGATGCGCGCGTTGAAGTACAGAGTTAAAGTGATGTCTGTGAACAACCACCATGCATCGAATGTCGACGATTTAGCCGTCGTACAGCATTTGATGCAAATGATGCTGAAATGGAAATACCCAGCACTGATTGTAAGGTTTACTCGAGCATCCATCGTGCATTTTTAGGAACTGTGGAGAGTGTAGCGGCCAAATGGTAATTTGGGCTAAGAATAACAACGCATGTGAAATAATATTGAAACGAAATGCGTTATCGCGTATCTGCTTTCAGGGGCTTATGTGCTCTTACGCATCAAGTTGTCATCAACCTTCAGAATCACTTTCTGACCGCGACCAACTATCCGTCCCACCCTCTACCATCGTTAAGATCGGTCGAGGAATCCTCGACAGGGGGTTGTACTTGTGAGGCTCGGTCAGGGGGTCGTACTTGTGGGGGTTCAGTAGAATCAGTGGCATCGTGGTGCAGATAAAAGTAAGAGGGTGTACCGCAGCAGAAAACGAAGATATGTGAGGGAACGTGATTGAAATATTCCTTGTAGGTTTATGGGAAGGAGGTATTCGAAAGCAGTATTGGGACAAAAGTGCATCTCCGTAAGGAACGGGGCCACATGTGCACACGCGCTCCAAAGGCACCTCCTTCATATGGCGCCCGCTCCCTCGCTCTTAATACCTCGTTGAGAATAGCACAGTTTTTAGGGAAGCTGTAGCAAAAATGGCAATAGTTTTGTAAGGCCTTAGACAAATGAAGCTGTTCCTTAGGTTTTAGGAGTTCTGAAATGTGTTGACTACAAAGCAGTTTTGTCAACTGGTCATGTTCATATAACAACTAGTCATGTCCTTCCAATCGGTTCTGCAACTTCGAGTACATGGCCTATGCCCAGACAAAATCAAATGATGATGATTGCCTCTTATCCCAGCGCTTATGTTGGAAAAATGTATTCTAGACACATTTCGAGCGTTGCCAATTAATCGCGCCTGCATTGGTGAAAGGGAGCGGCTTTTTGAGCTACCGAGAATCACTCTCGATAGACCCTCAACGCGAATATCTCCTTAACTGCAATGTAGAAGGAAGCTAAACATAGTGTAGGAAGCGCACACCTTTCGCTTTCCAAAATTGTCTTCTTCTTTTTTTCTTTTCGTTCTTGCGAAATTGGAGAGATATTGCCTTTTGAAAAGCAAAAACTCGCATGAAAATTTCAGCATTCTCGACGTTCCCTTGACAGATTTCGAAAGACTATACGCCTTCGATGGTAGCAATTCCAATACTTCCTGATAGCAGCAAATCTAGCTCTACCTAACCCTAGCGCGCGCTGTTCAAAAGGTTAGGAAATGGAGAAATTGAACGATTTCATCGAGAGTATAGATTTCGATGGGTTTTTCAAGATTTCAGCTTCAGATTAGTCTTTATGAGTTCTGTTTGATTCCCACCGAATACGCTCACTTTTTGGAACCAACGCCTCACTACTGCTTAGAGGTGCGCTATAAATTTGCGGTCTAGCGCCTCTTATCAGCTCTTGTCAGTCGTCACTTCTGACGCCCACCCACTCAAAAAGAGGCGCTCCATAGCTGCAGCGTAGCGCGCTATGAGTTTCACGGACGTACACATACACACATACTTCAAGGATAAAAGGATAAAGCATCTGCTGTTGATCAATCCCTTTTTGGGATGCGGTACGCATTCTACTTCCATTTGTACATTCGTAGTGGCGTTTTGAATGCGATGTCTATAAAATGACTTGCGGGGGCCAGCATGTACAAGTCAGTGTTTTTATCCTCCCAGACAAGTCTGATACCAATTACCCGACCCCGGAGGGATGGGAGGCTTGGTTGGCCCGGGCGACTAGCGACCCAGCATTTGATCCCTGGACCGCTCGTGTGGTGAGCGTGCCACTTACCACTACACCACTTTCGCCCACACACATACTAAGCGAATTATACAGGGTGGCAACTAAATATTGGTGCATGGTTTATTGACCATATTTTTGCAAAGGGAAACTATTACATATTCGAAAGTTTATTTTTTTATACAGTAAAACATATCCATGAATCACTGAAGAAGGTGCTCGCGATGGCCTCTCTCGGCAGTGAAAGGCTTCAAGTCTTCTCAAGTGACAACACCGTGGGCGGCGAGTAAGTGACGTCAACGAGACGCGAGAAGGTCATCATACTGGAATTGACGCACAATTCTCAAAAGGACAGGCAATTGTTGGCTCCCGTTAGCAGGATCCTGCTCGATGTCGTGCGCACACAAGGAGCGGATTTCCAAAATCTGTCATGATTTAGGCAAGAATTACTTCCAACACCGAAACACCGTTTGTCTTTGTGGACAAATCCGTCAAAATTAATGGCTAGATATACCAGGAAACAATTTTTACGTGATGTGCTCGTTCCATGGACAGTTTCGACCTCCAGCGAATGTCAGTGCTTTCTTCAGTAAACTAGGAGCCTCCCCATGCCGCAAAATCTACGCTGGTGTTCTGTGACCGCCATTTTCCAGGTTACTGGTCACCAGATATTTGGCCATTTAACTCACCCGATTGAACCCAATGGATTTTGTGGTTTGGGGCTTCCTGCAGCAGAAGATGCCTTCTGGGCAACATCGAAGTTTGGACTTCCTGAAGGATTGCTAGGAGGAAGCGTTGAAGTAACTCGACGAAAACTGCTTGCGGCCCACGGTGATGTCAGTTGAGAAGAGAATTGAAGCCTGTATCGCCGCCGGAGGACTTCTTTCCGAGCATCTTCTCTTGTAATGAATTCTTATGTTCCACTGTATATAAAGATAAACCTCTGAGGATTTAATAGATTCTTTTTTTGGAAATATGGTCAATTAACCATGCGCCAATATTTAGTAGCTACCCTGTATATAGTAGGATAAGCTGCACATCGTATTCTGCGCTTGATTTTGCATGCAATATGTAGCTCAGAAAAATTTCGTTGTCTATTGTTTTCACTAGGTCAAAAACAAGAAAGTTTACAAAGCTCTGACCTCTTCTGTATATAATTATAACGTTGATTCACAAGCTGTTAATCCTATAGGTAGCAGAAAGATAAGATTGTGTTCCGGAAACTTACCTTCTTCCGTTTCAGTTCACTATGATCTTTACATCCCTTCACTCGTTCGCCTTTCTTTGCTTTATTTTTGCCATCGAAAGCAGCTTTATTGATTCTTCCCTTATTTTCTAGTTTCGCTTCCTTCTTTACCTTATCTTCTGATACTTTGGGTTCCTTCTCTGCGGACTCCTTCTTATTTCTGTCCTCCTTGCTTGCCTTTTTAACCTCTTTGCTTCCACTCTTCCCAATCTCTTTTCCAGTCTCCCTATCTTTTCTCCCTATACCAGATGTCTGAGTCGTCTTGCTTTTTAGTCCACTTCGGGGTGCTTCCGCCGACTTTTTTCCTTCTGCTGGGGATTTCTTTATTCCTGAAGGACTTCTCCTCTGGTCGCTGCTCGCGCCCTTTTTCACGTCACTTTCGAGAATTTTCTTCGCTAAAGACTGGGCACTCGATTTCTGGCCTGCTTCTTTCAAAAGATCGCTGATTGACATTTTCTTAGTTGGAGTCTTCTCACATGACTTTTTCTTCGCCTCTGGAGTGCCTTTCTTTTTGATTATTTCGCCACTTTCTTTCTTCTGCTGTTGGGGGTCTGACGATTTTTTGTCCCCCTCTTCGAGCTTTTTCCTTGCAACCTCTTCTTTTACATTCTCACGACTCTCTTTCTTCTTGTTCTCACAGAATTTGAGTCCTTCTTCCTTTTTATTATCAGAAGACTTTTTTTCTGCATGCTCTCGCTCTATTTTTCTCTCTTCGACATTTTTCTTCTCCACATCATCTTCTTTTTTCTTCGGTCTCTTTTCGAAGATTCCGAAGTCTCTCCTCACCGATTCAGGAACTTTAGTTTTAGTCATGTCCAATTTCCTTCTTTCTTCCGAACTTGCAACATTTACCTGCCGCTTATCCAGCCCATTTTTCTCAACTAGTTTCACTCCTCCTTTCTTGACTTCTGATGCCTTCTCCTCCTTCCCCGTATCCTTATCTTCTCCTGAATCGATTGCGCTTTTTTCTTCTCCAAACCTATTTTCTTCTTCTTCCACACTGTCTTTTTTCCTTGCATCCTCTTTGCTGTCCCAATCGCTCACTATATCACCCATGGTCGGGTAATCCTGAAAAAATCAGGCAATTAAAAAATGTGCACCTATGTCAAATATTGCGTTTTCAGCCAAAGTGGCTTCATCTTTTGTGGTAATGTTGAACCTTGCCTCATATTCTCTCATCTGTAAAGACACATCGACGGCAACGCACGTTTCGGCTTTTTCGGCTACGTGGGAGAGACCGTACTTTGCAGCGCGGCCACTTTACCTCATATCCGTAAATTTTACATGGTACAAACCACTTCAGCAATATCCGAAGCGTGAAAGTTAATGGGGGCAGAGCTGCGAAATTTCGATCAAAAGAATGTGCAGTGATCAGGAAAAAACAGTTTTACTTTTGTCGTAATGGATGCCAAAACATTCTTGACTTAGTCGTGCCAACAACAACGCATATTTTGCCACGGGTACAGCTTTTGTTTACTTCAGTTTACACCTTTTTACTTACGTGATCATGAGAATAGGAAGAAAATGAATGAGCCGAAGTGCTAGTTTAGTAGCTTAGAAAATCTCTGCTGTGAAGCATGTTGGACCATATGGTGAATCATAGAGTAAATACAAGCAATTTAGGAAGATCTCGCATAATTGCCCGAAGAAGGGATGACATTGGTGGGACGCGCGCCCCGCACGGTCATGCTCAGATGAAGATATCACGCTTTATTGTATAGAACCACAACTTTGGCGCCAGTTTGTTGGGGCGAGCGTGCTACATTTCGCTGCCCGTAAATCCGCAAAGTGGATGGAAAAGTGACTGAATGAAGATGTGCTAACAAAACCAGTTAGTTCGCAGGACTTCCGCTATAAATTTTATACAATGGCAGGATTGTGATAGCATCCCCAAAGGTTATCTAGACATCTTCATAATGAGCACGGTCATTCAACATAGTGCTACATTGCAGCTGTAGGAAAGCGAGGGAGTTTGGTTGGAGGTAGGGAAGATCAACAGACCAAAGTCCACTCAAGTGATGAGGTGTCATTCTCATGTCAAGAGGGTGACAATGCCCTCTAGCATACAAAACACGCCTTTGTGCATGAGCATCCCTTCCACACAGTGCTCCTGTCACAAATGGGAAGGTTTAGCGGAAGGCGCAAAAGTACGCAGTGAAGCGCGGTCCCAGCAATTGCCGGGGGTGCCAATTTGATCAAAACCTCATTCTACTTCCAAGGGGGATCGCCTCGGCAATGATGTGTCCCGTGATCCTTATTATGCTAATGTTTGATGCGAAAGTACTAACTGGCTACCTTAAATGGTTTTATACTACCAATAACAATGGTCACTAGTGAGAGATCATTCTGCTTGTTAACCTTAGAAGGATGCGATTACGATGAGAAAGACCGCATTCGCAGAATAGATGCACCACACGGAGCAGATCTTGGTTGCCAAGGAGGATAGGTGTGGATCTTTTGCAACGAAAGGTGCCCTGATTACTGAGCAGGACTTCCGCAGCACTCCGCCCTAGAAGCGTTGCGCCCACCAGTTCAGTTAGTGACTTGGGCGGGCTGTTTGCTGTTGGCAAGATCATTCCCACTTTGGCGGCTGTCCCCTTCAACTTAATGATTTATTCAGAACTAAAAAACCACGAAACACCAGATTGGTCCACCGTCAACCGCCGGAACCTTCCTTCCCTGCGGAAACTTTGCATTCGCTGTGGTCCCTTCCACCAACACCTCGCGTAAGTGAAGTGTATGCCGCAAAAGGGCATTTCATATAGTAGAGTTCATCGCCAAAATCAAAACGTGATGGCAAATTTTCCCCCTCCCATTCCATCCTCCCTTCCTCCCCTCTCTCCACTGCCCTCCACCTGCCACTGCAACAACATGGGGAACGACCGGAAGTATGCCCATAAGGTGTATATGTAGCCATAGGAGAGTTACCACAATTATCCTATCGCAGAACATTAATAGCTCAAGCTCTGCGAGCTACCCAGATTTGTAAGCGGCTTGTTTATTCAATTCCATTTAGTTGCCTTATCACTCACTTCATTTTGCGGAAGGACATACATGCATACATACACACATACAAAACATACCGACATACAATACTGCTCCTAACTTTTGGAACACCACGCGTTGCAACGGTTTTGTAGCGTCGCGGCGCCACAGCACCGTCGCGAACCGTCGCACCGTCATAAGTCCCTCGGAAGCAGATGAAATGAAAGGTTCTTTACAGCGATGGACTCGCCTCTCTGTGCGAGACTAACGATGTGCAGATCTACTGATTTGGTTAGACCGCGTTCATAGTTCGTAACTCCGGAGATTAGGATAGTACGCGACAACGAAAAACGTGTCTTTTGACGGGGAGATTAGGATAGTAGGAGATTAGGATAGTAGTTGAGTAGGAGATTGCGCTGACAAGATTAGATACGTATCGACTGAAATCGCAGGAGAGTAATAGATTGCGGCATTACGATAGTAGGATAGTAGTGGAGTAGGAGATTAGGATAGTAGTAGATTAGGATAGTGCGCTGACAAGATTAGATATGTATTGATCTATTCGCTTGAAATTGCCCAATCTACTACTCTCCGATTTCAATCAATCACTGTCCCAATATCTTGTCGCCTACTATCCTAATCTCCTGAGTCGCAAACTACGAACGTGGCCTTATGTTGGAGTTGTAATAAGTTGTTCCACCAAAAATATTGTCGATCCCTCGTTTGTCGTCTCGCCTCTCCTGATTTCCACCATCTCTCCGATCGAGGACCAGCTCTCAGTAGGGAACGTCTAAGGAATTGACCAGTCGTCGCACCGCCGCACGCGGCCACTTTGGCGCGACATTTTTCCGAGGGCTCGGGATTTTTTGGATTTCATGGTGGGAGTAGCGAATTTCCTGCAGTTCACAATAATCTCTGTGGGGCGCGGATACCAAATTCCAACTCACATGCTCTGGCTTCTTAGAAATTGGAGTGATCAAAATTGTTTTCGATTCCATAATATTATAGTAATATTGGAAAACATATGAAGAATATATGAACAAAAAAAAGTTTGAAGGGATTGAAACTATGCGCGCATTGACTGAAGTTGAATCTTGGAGAGACGAGGGTTCCACTAAGGTTCAGTCAGACGCAAAACTCGTTCACTGCAATTAAAACGTCGCCAGCAGAGCGGGATCCAAACGGCTCTGTTGACATACACCCGCTTTCAGCTCCCCGCCTTGATGATTTCATAATGCCTCTCTGAGCCACGGTGACAACCTTCGCATTGAAGCGAGTTCGCAGGTCTTACGACCCCCTCGCCCTTGAAGGGTCTAGATACCATACCCACCCCTTCCCCTCCCCTCTCAGTAACAGTTACTTTGAGCAGAGATGCTGCAATGTGCGGCTCCGTCGCGTGCTTTCCATGGGCGCGCACAGTTCGTCACCCGTTGCGCCGGGAAGCGACTGATCTAACCATCCAATCAGTAATTATAATATTCTCTGCCAACAAGTTTATTAGATGGAGTCCTGATTACTGGCCTGACGTTTCGTTTTTTTCGTTTGGGTGTCCGATCCTTTCCCCTAACGTACCGTCAGAACAAGAACATTGGGAGAGGAGGCCAGTGGCGGTTTAAAAGACGTCTCCAAGTTATACCTTAAGGAAAACGATCACGGAGATGCCAGGCTACTTATAAAGTCTCCACCTAAAACCCTTGTTGCTAGAAGAAGAACATTATAATCACAAAAATCTACGAGAGGTTGGAGTTTGCTTCCAGTAAGTGATTGTTCAGCATCTGGAACTCTTCTTGTTATAAAGGTGAAGGTCGGAAGTTTATTAGGACGAACACTTCCCATTAAAAAGTCTCTCTTCGAATGAAAGACTACGAATTGTTTTCTTCCTAAGTAGTACCTAACTTTTTGAATTTCCACCTCTTCAAAAGATCGTTCCGTTGGTATTTTTTGCATATTTTCACGTTTCGCTTTACAAATTATAAAAAAGCTCAGATAGACTTGTTGGTAAATTCGAAAATGAGAAACAAACTCGACATTCAAACTTCCACATTTCAATCATTGGAGTGCTGTTTGAATACGCTTTCACCGCACAAACAATGCATTTCCTATCAATCACTCTCTCCTCCTCTATAAGCTACCAGTTTGCGCCGCACGCGTTGCGCGCACGACACAGCTCTGCGGCGATGTGCGATTGTGCGGCGTGAACTCTCAAATTTGACTCGTCACACTACGAATATTTGACCTAAGCTAGGGGGTAGATTCTATTCGCTCCATCCACCAACGGCTTCTTACCTCTTCCTCTTCTCCACCATTGTCATTGACCTCTAGCCATTTTTTCCCAGTCTTCAGGAATTCTTGGAAGAAATGATAACTTTTACGCCACCTCCGTCCGCATTGGCCCACGTTCCACAAACCAACAGCAGTCGACCTTCCTTCCATTTTGGAGCTCTATCCATTTTTTCCGCTCTCCAGGACCTGTTGGGACGTATAATCTTTTGTGGATAACCCCGCTTTTTGGTGCATTCCCCGCCCACCAATAGCAGTCAGCTTCATTTCCTTCGCTGGACTCTATTTACTTTTTTCACCGTCTTATGGCTTTCTGGAACCGAGTTATGAATTTATTAGCAAACCGCGCCCACTTGTGTCAGATCACAATAATCATGAGCCGCTGTTTAAGCGAGAAAGCGCGGGCGAGAGCATCGAGTTGATGCGGTTTGAAGGACTGAGTTCAAGTTGTCCGTAGACATTTTCCACTGAGTACTGCCTTTCCGAAGAACCCTCACAACATTGAGGGTGGGTCTCCCTGATTCCATGTGACTTACCAATGCGTACCTTTTCCTTAGTTTCGAGGCTGCTTTGTTATAAACTTGAAGACTTGGTTGTTAGTACAGTTCATTTCGATGCACGCCACGCCCACTGTGGGCGGAGCTCCGCTTAGCAGGTGTGTTTTGTACTTCGCGAGGCATTGCCCACCCATCCCACACTTGACCCGGTCCCTCTAGGTGGATTCCGAGGAGCTAGTGAATTTCATATAGTATATGAAGCTGAGCTGAAGGTCGCCTCAGTGCTAGATTGTTTGATCGAGCACGCGCAGGAAATTTTTTCGAAGAGGCGAGTATCCTGGCGTTTACGTCAAACCGTAAGTGGTGAAGGGCTTGAAGTGAGACGTTACGAACTCATCGAGGCGGTAGCTCGGAGCTGGTCCCTGATTGGAGCGACATTGGAGAGGCGAGACTGTCAGACGAGGGATCAACAATAGTTTCAATGGAATAACTTATTATCAGTTCAACCAAATTAGCAGTATTGCAAAATGTTAGACTCGCCGCAGAGAGACGAGTCTATTGCTGTGAAGATCCTGTCATGTACCAGCTCTGAGGGAGTTATGACTGGGCGACGGTTTACGACGCTACAAAACCGCTGCAACTGCGTACATATTTCAAAAGTTGAGAGCAGTATTGCACATACAAACCGACATACCAAGTAAGCTGTTTATAAAGTACCAGATTAGTCCCCCGTCAACCGCCGGGACCTTCCTTTCCTGCGCAAGCTTTCGATCCTCCGCTATGGTCCCTTCCACCTGTGACACCAACACCTCCTGGAAGTGACGGCGTCTGCACACCAATTGGTGGTTTTCAAACGTAAAGGCACAATTATGATGTGACGGTAGATTTGTCGCTTCCCTTCCTCATCCTCCTTTCCTCTCTCCACTGCCCTCACAGCTGCCCTGGCAGCACCAAGTAATGAACGGAAGTGTGGCTAAGCAGGTGTTTATAATAGCCTATAGAGTGTTATCACAACTATCCTGCTACATAAACATATGATATCTGAAAATCTGTAAGCTACTCCGCTTTGTTATCGGTTGTTTATCCGATGAGCTTCGCTTCTCGACTCAACTTCATTTTGCGGACGGAACACACATCCACTCACACAGCACATACACAACCTGACAATAGATACACAACCGCACAGCGGGCAAAGTAGCGCTTTATAATCCAGATTAGTCCCCCGTCAACCCGCCGGGACTTACTTTCTGCGCAAGTTTCTATCCCCGCTATGGTCCCCTTCTCCTGTGACCAACCAACACACCTCGTGTGAAGTGACGCGTCTGCAACACAATGGTGTCTCAAACAGTAGAAGGGACACTGTCATGAATATGGCGGTAGATCTTCGCTTCCTTTCCTCATCCTCCTTCCTCTCCCACTGCATCCAGCTCCACTGCACGCACACTGTGGAATGAACGGAAGTGTGATAAGCAGGTGTTTAATATAGGCCCTAAGAGTGTTATCACAATATCCTGCTAACAAAAACAATTGATATCCCATCCTGTAACGGTCTACCCGCAATTTGTTAAGCGGTTTTGTATTATCCATGAGCTTCCTTGCTACTCACCAGGTCTTTGCGGCGGAGCAACGCACACATACTACACACGCACTACACCACCTTTCACACACACGTACAGAATACACAACCGACACACAAAAGTTAGCGCTTTTATAATTAGTAGGATGACAGCGTTAGGTGTGTCCTCAATGAATAGTGTCGCTTTTTTTCAGCCGAAGAATTTTCAAATGACTGACCAAAATTGAACGCCGACGACAACTAGCTCTAACTTTCTTTTCCCTTCGCGCAAACCATCAACGATATATACCTCTACTCAACTCATGACCTCTCTTAACATTCCATCCTTAAGTTGCCCGAAAAGGTTTGCCCTGTTTCTTTTCGAAATGGTCGACCGATAAGCCATGGCAATTTTCAATATTAAATTCTTCCTCTACAACGCTATTGTTTACATCAACTGTGTACCTCTTTGTGAGGCACTTCTTCCGCCTGTATTCGCCCACTTGTTTTGATTTAATGTTTCTCAGGAATTAGCTCGAATTTTGGGTGTTTAGGAGTAAGTTGCTTTGATCCACGAAAATGACCGCATTCTTTGAAAAAAAAATTATCCTTAAGAAAATGATAAAAATCAACCAGGCGTACATTCCTAACATAGTCATGACTTATTCTTTAAATTCTAACCAGTTTTTTCAGTCTCGGCTTTAAAAAATTTCGGACCTAGCATACCGCCCCTAATTTTTTGTTCAATCGGCCGAAATGTCGAGACAACTTTCCGTAGCAAAGCGTCGTTTTGCTGTAACTGTTTGAGGAATGGTCCAATAACTGAAAATAAGAAAAATGGATAGCCTAGATGCATAGGAATTCAATGCACTAAGGAACTCCTACCTTTGTTCAGTGCTTCAAACTTTATTTTCGAGGAATCAGTGCTTGAGTCTCTACTTGCCAATAGCAGTACTGTGCGGACATCACCACTGTCGTAACCCTCCATTCAGATTAGAAGTTTCGGTTTCAGTTTCCAAAAGTCATCAATACCAGCATTTTCGAATGAGCTTATGATTCGTGATCAGATCGGTTCCTTCTGGTAAGTGTTAAACAAATTTAGAGCTGTAACATGAAAGATAATGATCGTTTTTCACCGAAATTCTACGTTTTTTCTTTTGGCTAAAGAAGGCAACATGCGTGGAAGGCAGATCAGATTTTTTGCAGAAAGTCAGTTCTACAAGTTCCGTATTCTTTCGTTGCAAATTTCTGACAAATGTCAACAAGATTCAGGGTGGAAATCACTTTTCACTCCTCATTCGTTTATTGTGAAAGCGACCAGAAAGTATCGCTTTGACGTTGACATGATAATTGATGCTCATACCTTCTTGGCTAAGTGTGGTATCCTTCTTGGTAAGTGTTAAACAAATTTAAGCTGTAACATGAAAGATAATGATCGTTTTTCAACGAAATTCTCCGTTTTTTCTTTCGCTAAAGAAGGCACATGCGTGGAAGCAGTCAGATTTTTGCACAAAAGTTCAGTTCTACAAGTTCCGTATTCTTGTCGTTTGCAAATTTCTGACAAAATGTCAACAAGATTCAGGGTGGAAATCACTTTTCACCCTCATTCGTTTATTGTGAAACGAAAGCAGAAAGGTAATCCTTGAGGTTGACATGACAATTGATTGCTCATACCTGCTCGTGTAGCTGATTTCCGAACGATTGCTCATCCTTCCTACCACTTCCATTGCGCCATCCTCCTACAGTCGTCCCTAGATGACTGACCTTTCTTCAATTAGCTGACCTTTCTCTTCAATTAGCTAAACGACCACGGCCATCGATCTGATTGCCGCCAGTAGTATCTGCTCGTTTAACCCACACGCGCTTTCTAACATCCAGAACATTTATCTTCTTCTTCTTCTTATTCTTCAGCGTTTGTCCCGTTTGTTGCGGGTCCGCTTTTCTGATATGCTGACGCCACTTTTCCCGAATTAAATGCTTGGTCGGGGTGTATGTTACCGACTTCAAGTCTGTGTGCAACGTATCGAGCCAGCGCTGTTTCGGCGTCCCTTAGGCCGTTTCCGGACACGTCAAGGCTGAAGCTGATCTTACGGACACTGTCATCTTTTTGGCACGAAGAACATGACCGTACCATCGAAGGCGGGCTTCGCGCATCTTTGTCGGCAATTGAGCCAACACCGAATCGTTCTCTGATGACTTCGTTCGATGTGTCTAGTCGAGTGACTCCAGCTGTCCAACGCAGCATCTTCATCTCCATCACACTGAGACGGGCTTTCGACTTCTTTAGTCGCAGGCCAGATTCGCACCGTAAATCGCGACTGGCCGGATGACGTTCTATAGAATCTTAAGATTTGCGCCGTTCTGGTATGTTCTTATCGCACCAGAACGCCAGTCATGCGCGCCATTGTCGACCACGCTGCACTCACGCGAGAATTCGCTTCAGAAGCCAGACTGCCATCTGCCGCGATTGCTGATCCAGATAACTTTGAATGTCGTTGTGCGTGTAAGCTCAGTTACCATTGATATGATAGAGCCTGGTCTCACACGGATCGGTGGTCAAGTACTCGGTCTTTTGACGTTCACCTGAGCCGAACATAGCCAGGCGGTCGACCCCAGGTTTGCACTTGTTGCTCGAGAGTGTTTTATCTTCGCTGGCGAGCATTTACATTATCAGCATAAGAAGCGTCCATGGAACCGGCTTCTGAATGTCTCTCGAAAATGGCATCCATGACGAACAACAAATAGGAGTGGGGACAGCGCAGAGCCTTGGTGTACCCGACAGAGATGGGAAAAATCCATCGAAGTGCCTGCTGGCCGTTTGCACCCGGCTCTTTGGACTCAAATAGAGAATTCGCACCCACTCAATAAGCTCTTCGGGCAGCCATGTTGCCGTAAGGCATACATATTAACCTCACGCGAAACGCGATCGAAAGCCTTCTCCAAGTCGAGGAAGGCCATGCACGGTTCTTTGTTTTTTCGCGATGTTTCCTAGCAAAGAGGCGAGCGGCGTGGATGGCATCGATGGTGGCTTGCAGCCAGCCACGAAACCACACTGGTTGGTGGTCAGATCAACGATGTCGGATTCGACTGTCCACAATTCGCTCAAAGATTTTCATGCTGTGCGAAGCAGGCGAATAGGACGGTAGCTTGTGCAGTCTCCAGGACTACCTTTCTTCTTCCAGATGGAAATCGTCGGCTTTGTTGCCAGCTTCTCAGGCACCTTCTTCTCTGCAATGATCTGGTTGAAGAACTTCAACCCATTCTGGCAGGATTCCAGCACTTGGACTTCCACAAGTCGGCCCTAGGTCATCGGACGGTTGCTTTTGCTGCTTCATCTTCTTCAAAGGCCGTTATGGTCTCACCACGGTTACTTCTGAACGGGGACCGTGTACTGGTGGAGCCAAGAGGGATGCAGGATGGGCAAATTCAACTGTTGAGATGCTTTCGAAGTAGTCGTGCCATCGCTTCAAAGTTTTCTTGCGATCCGTCAAAAGCTGCCATCTTCGTCATTTATGCCAAGAACTTTTCTATCCTCGGTCTGGCGATGGCGGAAATTTTGCGAAGTCGGTAAACGTACCGCTCTCTCGTCACGCGATCCGAGTTTTTTCGTTGACATCAGCGAAAATGAGCTGCTTTTACGAAGCGACGGTCTTTTTTGCCTCTTTCTTTGCTAATACATAGCTCCGCCACTTATCAGCTGTCTTTTCCTTTAAGAAAAGCGTGGGTACCGCTTTCTTTTCTCACGCACTTTCTCTCTGACCTGGTCGTCCACAGCCACGTTTGCTTGTCAATTCTCCGACGTCCAGGCTTCGTAACGCCGAGCTCGATCGAGCTATCCGCAGTTATTTTCTCGGCTGCACCTTTCCGAAGTTTCGTCGACGTCGTAACGCCGGTAGTCGAAGGCGAGAAACTACAGTCGCTCTTTTTCTTCAGCCGCCACCACTTGATTTCTCGCTGGCCCACACCTTTCAGCCAATCTTTTTTGCGGGCGATCTTCAGCGTGCAGATCAGTGGTCGGTGTTGTGTGACGACCGTTTCATAAGGTACTACCTTAGCGTCTGTACGGCCCTTGATCGCGGTGCTGACAAGGACGAAGTCAATTTGTGATCTGTTTTACCGCTTATAAAAGGTGATAAGATGGATTCACGTTTCCGGAATTTTTGTGTTTACAATGGCGAGGTTATGCGATTCCGCCATATTCAAGAATTCGCTCGCCATCATCTAACGTGTCCCATATCCAAAACCACCAGATGACAGTTATAACCGTCTTTCGTAGCGCCCAAGTGACCATTGAGTCACCTGCAACAACTATGGCTTCTTGTGACGGTACCTCAGCTGTCTTCTCATCAAGCAGGTTCCAGAACTTGTCCTTGGCTTGCTCGGAGCATCCAGTCTGCGGAGCGTACGCAGAGAAAGTGGTATTTTGTCGTGCGATGATGACAATGATCTTCATTAAGGCGGTCATCGAAGCGTTCCACGCTCACTATCGAATCACGGAAGCGTTCAGAAGACTATCATCCAACGCCGTTGTGGTTCTGGGACCGCCAGAGAGAACGGCTTTGAAGCCGCGCCCAATGTCACTTGACTTGCAGCAGGACCACCTCGTTTCCTGCACGGCACAGAAGTCAATTCGTCGGCGCTCTAGAGCTTCTACTAACTCGTACGAGCGGCCGTTTAGTGTGCCTACATTTAGCGTCGCAACGCGAGTCTTCCATACGTTGCGGAACTTTTGACTAGCCTAGTTGCCCCCCATGCCGTCCTTGCACCGGAGACCCTCGCATCTTTTCACACTCGCCGGGCTTTGCGAGTGCGCGTCGGCTCCCGCGAGCGCGTAGCATTTATCTCGAGATTCATTTAGCGACATGACATTTGTGATGGTACGTGGGTGTTCGTAGCCGGCCTGTCACGGGGCCTGTCGCCTGCATTCGAATGTCCGTGTTCAGACTCAGCTCACAAAAAGGTGAGCAGGTCCCAGTGGCACCCCTTGGAGGACGGACATCACCACCAACATCAGAACATTTATCGAGAGATGGAAAATTATGATGGCCTTCCTTTCCAATTGTTTATATTAAACATTTTGATTCTCAGTTTTTCTCACAGTTTCGCCTTTATGACGTAAGTGCTCCACCTAGGCGTGCCTGGCGAACTCTTGAAGTAGCTAGACAAGTTGGCTGCGACACTACATTAGTCCGCATCCTGCGATGACATGGCATCTCTTAGGTTTGCGTTCTAACACATAATAGTTCTTCAGAAGCTACATGGAGATTATGACATGCTCTTCTGATGCCTACAAGATGCTGCAGTTGGTCATTGCGTACAACTCCAAACACACATCCAAATGCCTTTGTGGCCACTAATCAGTACGTATACTGAAGAGTTAATCAAATAATCAAAACATATTTCCCTCCACTATAAGAACTGGCCAACAATGAAAATTTGTATTTCTCTATCTGGTATATGCGCACTTTTTACTAGTGAAGGATCTCAAAAAATCTTATGCCTTCTGACTACAAATGAATATCAAACAAAGGACACTAAGGATTAAAGTGTTTAATATAAACAATTGAAGGAAGGCTATCATAATTTTCCACCTCTCGATAAATGTTCTGATGTTGAAAGCGCAATGTGTGTTAAAGATACTACTGGGCAATCAGATCGATGGTACGTGGCTCGTTTAGCTAATTGAGAAAGGTCAGCTAATTGAAGAAAGGTAGCCAACGAGGACCGACCGTAGGAGGCATTGCGGCAATGGAAGTGGTACGAAGGATAAGCAATTCGTTCGGAAATCAGTACACGAGGCGTATGAGCATCAATTGTCATGCTAACCTCAGATACCTTTCTGTTCGTGTTCGCAATAAACGAATGAGGGTGAAAAGTGATTTCCACCCTGAATCTTGTTGACATTTGTCAGAAATTTGCAAACGAAAGAATACGGAACTTGTAGAACTGAACTTTTTGGAAAAATCTGATCTGCCTTCCACGCATGTGCCCTTCTTTAGTGAAAAGAAAAATCTAGAATTTCGGTGAAAAACGATCATTATCTTTCATATTTCAGCTTAAATTTGTTTAACACCTACCAAAAGGATACCAATATGATCACGGAATCGTAAGCCATCTTCGAAAATGCTGATATTGATGGCTTTTGGAGATTGAAACCGAAACTTCTAATTGGACTGGAGAGTTTACGACAGGGTGATGTCCGCAGGTACTGCTATTGGCAAGTAGAGATTCGAGCACTGAATTCCTCGAAAATGAAGTTGAAGCACTGAACAAAAGTAGGAGTTCCTTAGTGCATTGAATTCCTATGATCTAGGCTGTCCAAGTTGTCTCACATTTCGGCGATTGAACAAAAATTAGGGGCGGTATTGTAGATCTCAGGTAATGGTGCGTGACCGTCGAGTTCTTGTTGAACAACTAGGCCTGGAAATGGAATGACGCGACTTGTTGGGAAACCTAGTAATGTAATGTTTAGAAGAGGTCATGCATAAGTAGAGGGCACAGTATTGATTGATTTCTCTCAAAGGGAGATAAAGTTAGAGGTAGTTGTCGGTTTGGTCATTTTTTGTCGGCTGGACCTCCCATTTCGCAGGCCTAAAATTTGAAAACCATGGAGTGTAGATGGAAGATGAACACACTGTCTTGTAGAGCAGACAATTCTCTTTCGAACGGTATATGATACGCTGTAAAAGCTTGGGGATTTAGATGAAAATTTTTTGGTTGAAAAAAAGCGACACTACTTATGAGACAACCTAATAGAAGGATAAACATTTCTCCTTGTCGTCGCTTATTCATGGTCGAAAATGAACGGAATTAAGGGATACTACTTTGCGTATTCTTGAAAGATTTCTCTGCTTTTCGTCGTTGACGTACCATTGAGCACTCCTAGGTCCCCTTTAAACGCCTACTGAATCCATCGTAATTACTATCTTTAATCGATACAAATGTATACGTACAGGTTCCATGACTCTGGTTGGTACTTCCTGCTGGGTTGTTTGAAGGCACCTCTATTCGCCTTTACACCTTTCTGTTGCTGCGGTGGTCTAGGCTGAGAAAAAATGCTTAACCAGTTGTTTTCGAATAAGAACTTCGGTTTATGCTTGTCTCCCACTGCAGACAACTAAAGAAGCCATCATGAGCGAGATTATGTTCACAATTCAAACGATGGGCGTTATCGCAAGCAGAGCTACGTGCTCGATGGTGGAGGAGAGTCCTACTAGAGCCCTCGTGGGCGAGTTACGCTGATGCTATCATTACTTCTTCATACTTGCATCACCCTGATCATAATTATGTTCACGTGATATCATTGCTCGATTTCTTCCAGTGGAGAATAAATTTTGATCTATGTAGTTGCCGGTCGGCAAAAAAAGTAGAAAATAAAACCATAACTCCTTGCGCCAGATACGATATGCGCCATAACGAAGGAAGCGTGGAATGATGTGGAAAAATGGGAGCTTGTTGCAAAGAATCTCATCGTTAAAGGAGGAATTCACGATTAGAACAAAGGTCGAAGATAGGGAAACTGTTCAGGGACCCACGGACCTCCTGAGGGTGCGAACTGACGCGCAATTCGCATGGAAAATTTTGACCTCGGCGACCCACCATGCCTCAAAGCTGCCGGGTTTGGCAATCTCCGCCCACCGATCATCTGATCACTCGCCGTAGTTCAATACGTGGCGAGTGATTAGATAGCTGAGAGAGCTTAGTGTTGAAGAGGGCACAGCGATGAGAGTCGCATCAATGCTCGAACAATAGGCAAGGAAGGGGTGCCATTTCTCGGGTTCTGGGCCGTTTCCCATGGTTCTTCCTTCTTTCGTGTACCACTCACCATCCCTAGGTTGATTTGAAATAGGTTGCTTTTTCATCGTGAATTTGTCCTTAAAGCAAGCCCCGGAATAAAACTAGTGTATATGGGCGCTCGGTAGTAACGACAGAGCTGCGGGATGCACTGAAAGTGAAATGGAGAACAGGAGAATCTCGACAACGATAAAATTGAGGCCTAACTTAGTGTAACGTTGCACGTGGTACGATGGCGAGACATTGCGATCAAAGAAGACCAAACACACGAGGGAGCGCCCCCTTCGAGAGAGCACGTTCCATATCGACTGCGGTGGGTGGAAAGCGTTGCAGCAAGAGTCGGTGGTTGCAGGTTCGATGGATTAGCGCCTAATCGACCATTTTGGCAAGGGAGCTGGCAGGACTTGCAGAAGCGCTCAAAGTATTCAGAATCATTACTGGACTATTTTGATGGCGCTTGCTGCTAATCGCACTTACATCTTTGTTCCTTCTCGCTCCAGCAGCAATTTTTTTCTGCTTTTCATCTAGGCCCTCCATCTTTGGTTCGATTTTTTTCTGAAATGGAAAGTACGGATACTGTGTTAAGCCCTCTCCTGACAGAGCTTTGTGAGATCTAAACAAGTTACCAAAGATTCATCATTCTCTCCCAGAAAGCAAGTGTTTAAAAGATAAAATATCACTCAGGTGGTGTTTTGTGACCTAGAGGTTAAACAAACATCCAAACTCCGTATGCAATGTAGAAGAGATTATAGCTATTAGGTCGTGGAGAAAGTTCTTGCGCTTTTTGGTCTCTCGTTTCTGAACGCTTCATTTTGTTACGAGTTCAAGCAAGCTACTGTCGTTTTGAAGAGCTTGCCTGGGCTATATAACAGTTGGGCTAGCTATGTTCCTTATTGCAAGTTGTCATTTTTTAAAGCCTTGAGCACGGCATACTCCAAGGAAAAATTCGCATGATTTCCCTTTTCTAGCTCAAAGCAGGCAAGTATGGAGAGAAAGCAGGTCGAGATATTATAGATGCACTTGGCTGAGGCTCGCAATAAATATGGTCTGAAGCATTTGTCCAAAAAGCTTTTGTAAGGATAGTGAGACCCCCAAAGATGATGAGGGTAGTGCATGGAGATTGGACAACGCCAACGATTAGCCGAACGTTCTAGTTGGAACACATTTGCATAGAATTATTGGGAGGGTTCCTCCTAAACCGATCGCACTTGCATTGTGTTTTCTTGTTGCACGGGAAGAGCTGGAAGTCTCGAAAATTTAAATAGGGCGTGCCACGACAGCTGACCATTTTGAAGGGTCGTTCGCCACTTTCTAGCTCGTTCTATGCCATGAAAACGGCCTGATTTTTCTTAATCATTTGCGACGTACGATAAAGTACGGATCCTTTGCTACAGCGTGAGAACCTTTGGTGAAGTGATCGACCGCGATCAGGCTCTACAAACTTTGCAAAAGTGAAACTTCAATGAAGGAAGGTTGAGGTGACTTTCATAAGGTCAGCGGTCCCTTCGGAACCAGGTGGAATAATTAATGTGGAAAACGGCTGTCGAATTAAAATTACTTAGAACTCTAGCACATATGCTCGATATTCCTCATTACAAAGGAACCGGCTCTTTCCTGACAGGTAGCTCGGACGCACATCGCACAACCAACCCTGCGAAGTTGAACCAGCTGAGCCACGAATTAGTGCTTACTTGTTCATTCGGTAGACCTTTGGCCTATGACGTGTCATTTTTTCGATTACCTGGATATCTTCTCCAAAGGGTTATGCTTCAAAACCCAACATATACGGAAACAACCTCCGCCGGGTTCATCTCTCTAGAGCTTCAGTATTGCGCAGGACCGGGCTAATTAAATGCAACTATTACGGGCAGAGGTTTATGGATCCTAACGGTCTTCACTCCGATGAAAATGGTTTCGATTGAGCCGAGATACATGCATTTGAAAATCAAGGTCAAAAAGCGCAAGAACTTTCTTCGCGACCTAATAGTAATAGTCGATCACTAATCGATTGCTCTTCGTAGAAAATAGAATTAGAATTAGTTGCCAGTGTTCGTCGGGAAGACTCGATTTTGCATCACCTGACATCCATTATGTTCATAGTATGGGAGCACGCTAACAAGGGAGGTCGTTCAGGGTGTGGGACGCTTTTTCAAAACGGTTTTTTGCATGCCGTAGGGGCTCTCACGTAAACCACATTACTGTGTTCCATTTTCGCTGAGCGGCCCCCTGAAGGTCAGGAAAAGGTCGAAAAAAAGTTGGTAAGAATGGGTGGTTTCCAGTGCCTTGGAGTGGTGCTTTGAACTTGTGGAAAAGATCACCCGCAAATTGAAGGGTACTGATGAAGATGGTATCGAAAACAGTGTGAAATTCGCTCAAAATTTAAGTTCTATCAGTGGTAGTGCTGAAGGAAGTACGAGGGCTTCATAAGCGTAGTCGGCATCGTGTCCGTTGCAGCGAAGCGGTGGTCAAGTGGATAGTGTGCCCGCCTCGAGTCTGCACAGGTTTGTGGTTCGAGTCTACCCGACAGCAGCTGTTTTACATTTTTGATAAACGTTCCCAAACTGACGCAGAACTGCTTTAGAGTCAAAACTAACGCTATATTCACAGTCAGGACAACCGGTAGCTCTTGGATTTTCTATAAAAACTGGCGGGATAAGTTTGCAGCACCAAACTGTCGTCAGATGGCGCCTACGCCAAAAACGAAAGCCATATTCGTGAACAGGACCCTGATTTACCCCCATATGCAGAATTTCGGGAAAAATCGAGGTCTTGACCTAAATTCGCAAAAGGGGGTGACCATGAGGGTGCACGCCAGCAAGCAAGTTGAAGACGTGCGCGGCGCGGAAATCAAGCGGAAGCCTTGTTGGTTCACGAGAACCAAAATTCGATTTTATACTAAACACGAGTTCGCCATCCCACCCCTATATAGATTTGTAAGAACCATGGCGCTATCCGTTGCGTGACCCGAGCTACGAATTTCGTGACAAACACACCTACACACACAGACCTACACACACAGACATACTTAGCGAATTATATATAGTAGGATCTTCCATCACGTCCTAGTCCTTGGAAACGATCCAGCTATCGAGATGCAGCCGTTCGAGTGGAGGACCCGTGGGTCCAATATACCACGTCCTGATGGAGAGAGGAATCTGTCGACTTCGAAATCATGGTGTCTTGTTGTCCATCACCAGCTTGGGCGTCTGCAGTTGTCCATTTAGTATTGGAACTTCTCATTATTTGAGAAGGAGAACAAGGAATTCTTTTCCCGATCACCAGCTGCAGGTACTTACGGGCTGACCTATCAATGGCCAATTTTTCGGACCAAGGTCAAAATCTCAATTTTCTCTAGAACTGCTAATTTGGAGAGTATCGAGTGCCCTGATCATGAATATGACATCAATCTTTTCCGATAGCTTCAATTAGCGCTTTTTAAGCGCCATTTGGCGTCTTTTTGGCACTACAAATTTTTCCGCTAGATTCTAGCAATAGTTCGAGTCCAGTACTCATTCATGGTCTTGATGATGATTACGGTACCTAATATTGGTGCTGGTGCTATTTTGAGCGAATTTCGAGGCTTCAGTCCGAATGCAATAATTGTCATCAGGAGGGACTGAACCCTGGACCATTTATTTACCATTTTTTGACCTTCAGGGGGCCACTTAGCAAGATGAAAAATAGTACTGTAGTCCCCGTGAGAGCCCCTACAGCATGCAAGGAACCGTTTTGAAAAAGCGCTCCTCACCCTGAACGACCTCCCTTGTAGGGGCTGAAAGTAAACATCCCATGTGATATAAGGACAAATGAATGATCCAATTTTTATCAGCTGCTTGGTCACATTAGCTTAGGGAAAATCATGATATTTATTGAATATATAAAGTACGGTAAATGACTGTCTGTCGGGATTGAGTAGCACAAATTGCCCTTGTGAATAACGCGATTCGCACGATCGATACTACCACTATTTGCCAGTCAGAATCCTTACAGGTCATTTCGCTAAGGGCGGCACTAACCCGCCGAGGGAAACGCTGCAGAGCTTGGAGAATTGGACGTGCCTCCATATTCGTAATGAAATTCACGACGTGACACGCGTAGCAAAACTCTCGATGAAAAGGTGATATCGCGTGCCCTTGAGATGCCACTGGTTTGAGGAAAGTTCAATATTGCGCACACTTCTGCAATTGCACTACAACTGGGTAGGGGGGACGAAGCTCAATTCTTCATTCTGCCAATCAAGTGAGAACGATGGAGTGTACGTATGTCACTTCTTCCGATTTCCGATCGAATTGTGACTTTCATTACGATACTTACAACTACTATCGAGCTTTTCGTCGCATAGGGTGCCGCTGTTGATGAAAGTTTTACGGCGAAATATCCCTTACGTCAGATGTTTTCAAATAAGTAGAAGCAGGCCGTCCTCCGCTGCACTCACCTTCCTTGAAATATGACGTCATCTTTCATCACCGTCGTGCTGAAGAAGGCCTACTGTGATCGTTCCAGCTTGTAGCTGCTACGAGATTTCTTTGAATGGGTCACTGCTATATTGTTTTGTAGAGAGTAGCTCTTAATATGCGAGACCGCTTCCGACTAGTGTTTCAGATAATACCATGGTCCATGGTCATTCGAGGACCATGTTGAGGTCGAACCGCGCATAAAGTTTCCATGGCTAATTTTTGTGATGTTGTTTGTGCAAGAAGCTATTACAACGTGTATTAATAGATTGGAATGTGCTCTCCAACATTAAATTGGGGCAGTCAATTAGAGTTCGGCTAAGTGTGATTAATGCCGTCTGAAATGTGAAGTGTTTTTTTTTGATCACCCCTGTATAATTCGCTAAGTATCTGTGCGTGCGTATGTGTGTACGTCTGTTTGTCACGAATTTATAGCGCCCTTCGCTGCAGCCATGGAGCGCTGCATTTTAAGTATGATGTATGGGGTGGGACGGGAAATATTGGGTGGGGATTAGAAAGTGACAACAGCTGACTTTAGAAAGACCAATTTGAATTTGATGGTGTTCCTGCAGAGCTCGGAAAAAGTGAAAACTGGCTCTGCAAGTCCATATAACAGGAACATTCTAAAAACATGGCGTGTGTGGCGCACCAGCACGCCAACAGTTGGTCGCTCACCGCAAATCACCAAACTAGTCGCACAACAACCGCATGGTGTATTCTTCTTCATTCATTTCATTCATTTGATACAGTATCCTCAAAATGCCATCTATTCCCTATCACTGATTCGTGGAATTTTCTCCGGTAAGGTCTATTGGTAGCGTGGAATTGAATATCCCAGAAAGTATAGCCGCGCTGGTATTATACGATTGCTAACTCGTCAAGAATTCCGTGGAATGAATGGGACCATTTACCTTAGAAATTTTCCGCTGCAAAGGAAACTGTACACGGAAGAAGTCGCAGGAAAATTCAAAATTCAACAAAATTTATACCTTGTTGGCTTCCTCGGTCTTCCAGTCGCTGAGTATGTCATCAAAGGTGGGATAGTCCTTAAGTAACAAAAACGATGAAATTATAGAAACCGACAACACCGCGTAATTTGCAAAGTCGTAATTAATGATCATGCATTTGCGTGCATCACAGGGACTAAACTGGTATAAAAAGGGCCATAGAAATTTTATGCTTCCCGACAAACTACGCCCACTTTGGTGCACACAGACCCGAAAGCATTTGCACCTTCATCCACTTTTCCCCAGGCTCCTGGCAGACTCGGATTCAAGGTATAATGTTGTCGAAGCAACCCAAAGTGCGCTCTTCACCAACCAACAGCATTTGACCTCTCCCTCTGCGTCAACCTCTACTCACTTTGTTCCCGGCTCCGGGGCTGAACCGAATTACAACTTTGGATGAAGGCCCCACCCACTCCAGCACGTGCCATGTTTACCGATGGCAGATGACTTCTTCTTCTTTGCTAGACTCTATCCACTTTTTTTCCGGTTCCCAGGTCTTTTTGGAACCGAGTTATAATCTCAGTGGCAAACTCCACCCACTTCGGTCACACCTCAAACCGGAAAGAACTTGGACCTCTATCCACTTTTCCAATCAATCAATCTTGGATCTAAGTTGTAAAGTTTCGTGGCGAAACCCTAATTGCGCTCTCCACCTACCAATAGTACTTGACCTATCCGTCTGCGCCGCCCTCTAATTACTTTTTTCCCGGCTCCAGGTCTTTTTGGAACACCCACTTTATCCGGTTTCTGGGGCCTCTCGAGACCAAGTTCCATTCACCTCAATGTATGCTCAGGCCACCGGTAATTAGTAGTTGACTTCCTTCCAACCTCTACCCTTCCGTTTCCAGTCAAACCTAATTATAAGGATATGTATTAAAGGAATCTTGCGCGGAAAATTCTTGCATTCTTTCCTAACATGAATATGTCAGTTGTGATCACAGGAAATAGCACACAAAGTTTCACGCATGAAGATTACGTACAAAAACTACACGTTATGGACCATCGAAGGACCACGAGGCAGAGCCAGGCGAGGCGTGGAAAGAAGACGGCGTTTGGCCGGCTACGTACCAGGCGACGCTATGAGAGAATCGGGTAAAAGCGCGCGATTTCGGAGATTGGAGACAAATCGATCGATGGAATAGGATGGAGTAGAAGTGTAGGATGTGAATGCAACGAAGCAGAAGGCCAAAAAGAGCTTCTAGTGAATGCACTCCAAGAACCAAGTTTGAGCATCCCCATCGCCAGCATTCGTGAAAGACGACCGTGGGCAATTCGAACGCGTAGCAGCCTTTTCGACTTTTCGAATTTCTAATCAAAACAAAAGCAATACTTCAGTTCTTTTCACTATTGTCGTGGATAATGAGTCTCAATCCAGTGATTTACGGCTGAAACAGAATCATGATTTTTCCGCGCAAGATTCCTTCAAACAGCGCCCATTTAAGGACATGCGCTCCTCATTGTGGGATGGCTCGCGCTCAGTGCAAGTAACTGAGAACACTTTAGTAAGTGCTCCACATATCATTTTTCCTGCTCCGTAAGCTGAGTTGCAATGCACAATTTGTGCTAAATATCGAACATTTCTTCTGGAGTCATCAGATATTTACATTACGATTCCTTGGCAGTTTTTCAATGTAGCCGAGTATGGAAAAACCTATCGGATCCAGACAGACTGTGAATGGGACGCAATCTTTCGCCGAAAAAAGAGCCGATACTTGTTTCGGAGAAATGAATCATTGTATTGGTTCATGGGCCGTAGGAAAAGATCAAAGTGCTATGATTTTGCTTCCAGGGGACCACAGCTTTGGGGATGTCTTCTTTATGGCCCTTCCCTTTGGTTTTCACGCATTGTCGATAAAATCCTATTGAGACTTCCACGATACAGTGATACAGCCAATATGTACAGCAGCATTTGAGGAACGAAATTCTTGAGGGTACTCCAAAATCAAGAATGTTCGAAAATCAAGGATCACAGGATTTCTTAGACTTTTCTTTCGGTCCAGCTTTGTCTGAATGACTGAAAATCTTTCGTTTGACAAGCGATAACCTCCACCATGCTTAGTTTCCGTTGTTATTTACACAGATTCTTGAGTTCCAAACTGTCCGACAACCTTCTTCGAGCTTCGCTGATCTTTTTGTTCATTCCTCTTCCTAATAAATCCTGCATCGACCAAGTGCTGACACTCGACTCCCATTCTCTTACGAGCTTAGTCGTACCTGGTCTTCGTTCACACAGCTTTGCAACTGAACGCTCTTACGTAAGCTGGCATTCTAGCATTACATCAAGTCTTTTTCGGCAAACCTTACTAGTGCCATCCCTTTGGTCCAATTTTCCTGCCACTGTTATCATCCCTGAGTCATTCTCAGAATCCCGCTCGAGTAACGCATCGTATACTATATTAACACGCTGACGACAACACGCGTTATGGGCGCGCCGCGTTGGAACACAGGCGTTTGCAGGCGCCGCCGCCTCACTAAAATCCGTGCATTTTGAGTTTTAACTACGCAAAACTCGGATGCAGCAAAATGTTTCGAATGATATTCGTAACAACCTTATCAGAAAGAACGACTGCAAATGTTTGATCGAATTGACGTTTCCTGGCAATGAAAAGGCAATCACCACTTGCTTTTACTGCAGTGAACCTCAAAATTATTTTTGACACGGTTGCTCACTGAAAACATATTTTTGCTATATGTTTGGATCTGTGCTTATTTATACCACTCTTCTTCATGACCAAGGTTATCAGAATATGAAGAAATCTAGGAATGAACACAATTGGAAACCCCGTAGAACTTGGAAAACCTTCGCTAAAAGGGAGCATATTCAACCATTCGAAGAACCTCACCGGGTCTAGCCATATTATGGTGTGGTCTATAGAATAGAGCAAAAAAAAGTTAAAAAGAATTGGCGCATACACGAAAAAAATTAATAATTTCTGTGTGTAGCGCATGCGCAGTACACGGTCCAACGCGGTCCTCAAGCTGTGAAGCGCATGCGCTGCACAATGTCGTCAACGTGTTAAATGTACTATAGAAATTCACTTTTCATGATTTATGAATGCGCTAATCTATTTCCTTTCTTTCAATCTTCATAATAATATTAGTCTTATGCAATGGAAGCGGCCAAAAGAAGCAATTAATAATTATAAAGGAGTGACTGCACATAAAAGCTGAATCCCTCACCGAGGTGTCTCTTTTATAGCCTCTGGCTATCTTTTCCAGCTTCCCAATCGGCGTCTTCTCTGCGTATTCTAGCTCCGCCCTGCGAGGATCTCGTGGAGCCTGCAATGTTCATGAGATGGACTGAATTCGTCAAACATTTGCGAGAAATCAACTCTTTTAGATTAAGATTTGGATCCTAACATTCGCGAGCATTATAAAGCTCTGACTCCATAAGTTTCTCAGCGATCTGAAGAACATTTGATGGTGTTACAGCTAGAGAAGGTAATGAGGGTTGCTTGAATGAAAATGCAGCCAAGATATCTGCCAATGTAAACAGCAGCTTTCAAAACTTCTCCGAAGTCCCTGGTTCCCCATTCCCGCTATGGTGGTACTTACATACTTTCATATTGAATATCGTCGAGGGCTAAACTTTAGTCTGTAGTC